GGGGGGGAGGGGGGAGCCCTGTGCGACCTTTATGGGGGATGTGCGCTATGGCTCCCCCTGGGATGGATGGGGAACCGCAGCCTGACCCCACCGCGGTGCAGCTCCAGTCCAATGGAGACCCTAACGCGACTTGCTCTGCGGTGCGGGGGAGGCGGTGGTCTCTGCACCCCTCCCGGTATGGCTGGGGAATTGCTTGGCCCCCATCCCCGCCTCAGTTCCATGGAAACCCCCGTGCAGCCCTCGCTCTGGAGGGGGGTGGTCTCTGGAGTTACCCAGGATGGATGGGGAGCCCCTATGTGACCCCCATCCCCGACTCAGTGCAGAGCGCACCCCGTCCCCCTGCAGTGGGGGGGGGTCGTGCTATTCTTATGCCTTTTGGGGAGGGACTCTGAGCTCTGGCTCCCCCCGCTGTGGCTGAGGAACCCATCAGCCTGACCCTCATTCCCACCCTGCTTCTATGGAGACCCCAGTGAGAATCTTGCCCCTGTTGTGGGAGGTGGTCTTTGGATCCCCCTGCGATGGACGGGGAGCCCCAGCCTGACTCCCATCCGTGGTGTGGGTTGGCACAGGGAGGCACGGGAGGCAGCCCTCTGGGGAACTGTGGCTGGCTGTGCCCCCCAGCCATATCAGTGCCTGGGCACAGGCTGGGCCCGGGGTTCATGGCTCCTGGGGGGCCCTGGAGCGCTCAGCCCAGCCAGGCCTGTCCTTGCTGAGGGGCTGTGCAGTGGCAGCAAACAGCCCTGGCACCCTCTGCCCCAAGCTCTGCCCTGGGACCCGCCCGGGCTCGGCTCTCCCTGTGTCCCCAGGGGCTCAGCCTTTATGGTGTCACCACACGCAGGAGCAAAGTCTGTGGGGTTCAGCAGCTGCTTCTCAGTGAACTGGACAACCTTCGCAACAGCCTTCCCCCTGTGTGTGGGGGAGTCTGGGGTCTCCTCGAGGCCTGATGGGTGTGTGTATCCCTGGACACCATGTGCTGCTCTCAAGGATCTGGCCCCATGAGAGAAAGGTGCAGCCCCACAGGGGCTGAAGCTGCCTTGAGCTGCTGCGGAGCCCCCAGTCTGCTGAAGCCTCCCCATGTGGGCAGTGTAGCCAACAAGGTGCCCTGGGGAGCATCAAGTACATCCTGTGTGTTTCGTAGAGGTGGAGGCAGGCCTGGTGAGGCAGGGAGCTGGCTGTGGTGTGTGCCTGGCATGGGAAAAGGCCCTGGCAGTCAGACATGCTGGTGTGGGCAGAGGCAGTGCTGGACGTGGTCTGTGTCAGGTGATGGTGGGGGATAGGATTTTCAGCTGAGTGCTGAGGGATGGTTCCTGGAGTCTCATTTTTTGTGGATGAGTGCTGCTTCATTTGTGCTCTCCTCTTCTGCTGTGCTTCCAGGTATGGCTTTTGTTCTAGACTGTAACTTCTTCTTTCCCTTTCATTTCACCTGCAATCCCCAAGAAAACTTTTAATCTGCGTTTTCTTACCTAACCCTGTCTAGCCTGGGATCAAAGCTGGTGATAAGAGCATAGCCCTGTTGTTATTATGAGCTCAGCTTTATTAAAGGAATATCCACAGCCTACAGAGCTGTAATGACTAACCTGAGCCTCCCAGCTCCATAGTGCATATTTACACAACCTCTTTTTCTCTCTGCACCTGCTCACATCCCTCTCACTGTGAGTGCCCTTGCTTTGGAGGATGACAGTAACATCAGATTCTTCCACATCTCTGGCAGCTAGAGCAAGGACCTAGGCTGAGCTCATTGCCTCACTAAGGTGGCAAAGCCTCTTGTATCATATCTTTATGGATGTCTTGTGGTCAGTGATGCTGGGATGTACAACTGTGATGGACACAGATGTGCTGGCAGAAGCCTTGGTGCAGAAGGGTTGTGGTCAAAGCAGTCTAAGGGAAGTATGGAATAGGCTATAGCTGTGACAACACGTTTGTTAGTTTAGTGAAGGCAGTGCTAGCAGGATTTGACTGGATTTGTGTTTTAGTCTCAGTAGAGTGTTTTATTAACTTCTTCCTCACCTTCATCTCACCTCACCTCAACTTCTTCATCACCTCTGCTGATGGTACATGTCAGGAAATGGCAGTGTTTGAGACCATCCTCACCAGTCCTGCTGGCTGTGGGCTCTGGTGCTGTCTCCTGGCCACTTGCTGTGAGCCTGCTCTGCTGGCCCAGCCCTGGGCAGCCAAATGGGAGAGGAGTTGGTCTCTAGATGGGGTGAAATACTGTTCAGCACAGCCTTACCCAGGGCCAGTTTGAACAGCTGCATGTGAGGTGTGTCCTCCCGGAGCTGAGATCCCTTTCCAGCACCTTGCAGAGGGATCTGGGACTGTCAGTGAAGCAGAGGAGACAGCTCACACTGTGTTTCCAGTATTTTGGCTCTGCAAGGCCTCTTAAGGAGAATTACATGTTTTGCTGTCAAAGATACATCCTCTCAGAGACCCTGCCCTTTTGTCTTCTCTCTCTTCCCTGTGCAGTAAGGTTTATTCACAGAACCACAGACAGATTTGGGTTGTAAGTGACCTCTAGAAGTGTCTGGTCCAACTGACCTCCTGCTCACAGCAAAGCTGACTCGAGGCCTTGTTGTTCAGGGCTTTGTCCAGTTGGGTTTTGAGATCCTCCAGGGAGTCTGTGGCCTATTCCTAGGCTGCAGCACTCCTCTGGATAGTCACCTGCTGTCCACGCAGCTGTCCTCTCCAGCTGACTGTACCTGCCAGAACACTTTGTCAGGTGTTCTGTTGCCTTCCTGCAGCATTTGGGCAACAGGTAGAGAGACCTAATGACCATCTGTTTTTTACCACTTCCAGGTCTTCTATTTTTTTTAATCATTATCTTGATATCATTAAGGCAGTTTGGACACACGCTGCTCAAGCATGTTGTACCTCTGAGCCTTTTTTGTTGTGCTTCTGATAGTACTTCCAAAGCTTTTGTGCCCATTCACCCCCTTCCATTGTGTTTAACACTATTTTGGAGATACATACCAGGAGAATTTTCTCTTGGACTTGATCGCTGAGTGGAGTTGGTTCTTGAAGCTGAATTGCTCTCCAGATAGCATTGCTGTTAAGGGTGTACTTACACTTGTTAGTCCTTTCTTTCTTGCAAAACCTTGACACTCAGTGCTTTGGGAGATCCTGGTCTTACAAGATGTGAAGGGATCCAAGCCATTTCAAACTGCTGCCAGGATGGCATTCTGACTGGGTGAGGATGCTCCTGTTGCCTGTCTTAGCCTTTACTGCTATGGATAGCAGCAGGTAATGCTGAGATTGAGGAATGTTGTCAGTTATATTTGAAATGTTGCAGGGAGTCTCCTGGTAAACCTGATTCCAGGCAATTCTGTGAGATCTCTGAAATTTGTCTTTCTTGCACTTTCTTGAAACTGAAGTTTCTGGAATGCAAGCTCAGAATCCAGTTTGGTCATTCCTGCCCTTGAGGAATTTACAGGAGACTCGTGGTTGTGTTTTGCAGCACCAGCTGTTCAGTACTGAAGGATTTAGGCTTTCTGGGTTCAGGGTGACTGTGCTACTACATTTGAGGCCTGCAGCCCTGAGATGGGGCTCCCACTGTAGTAAAATCTGGTTGTGGTCTTCTTTCCTGGCTTTGGAACTATAAAAAAACAATTGGTGGAGTCTCGATGCTGCTGGTGAAATTCTGGAAATGCCCTTTTGTTTCCTGTGTACCAGTTACTGTTGTGTAGACAGTCCCAGTCACACGTGAAGACTGGCCTGAAGGGGATGTGCTGAAAGCTGCTGCAGTTTGCACTGACTGAGAACCAATAGCACATTTGAAGGTGAGACAACATCCACCAAACCCTGCCTGCAAAGCACAAGGACTTGACCAGTGACATCTGCAGGAGCTGTGGCTGATTTGGAGTGAGTCACTGCATGTAAAGCCTCCAAGTCACAGAGGGCTTACAGATCCATGGTCAGTTGTTTAATCATGTGTTTATGAGCTTGTCCAGCTTTGATTTCCAGCTTTTTGTGTCCTTGTGTGCACCTGTCTGTATCTCTAAGGAGTCATCTGCTGTAGATCTTTCTTTGTGATTTTTTTGAGAGGGGTCATGTCCCACCACCATTTCTTTTCAGTGAACAAAATAGGTTTAGCACTGGAGGGTGTTTTCCAAACCATGGCTGTTCATAAAGCAGTGGGATTCTTGTGTTAGTGTGTCAGATTTTTTTTTTTATTTGAAACATCTCAACTCTTCCAATAACTGTTATCAATTGTAGACAGTAGCCAAGAATGAGACAGTGATGGTGTAACATGGCACTGTGTGCAAGTAGCACTGTACTGAATGTCACCAAGTGGGGTTTGTGCTCTGAGTTTGCAGCTCAGAGAGCTGCCTTTCCAAAAACACTAGTAAACAGCAAAATCTTTTCAGCTCCTTTATGGAGAATTTTGACAGGACTGAAGCATGGTCCATAGTAGTGTGCTTAGTTTACTGGTGTTATTTTGTAAATTCATTTGTGTTTGAGTTAGCCAATACGTAATAAAGGTTCGCAGTGCTTGAATTTAGAATGCTAACAGCTGTCCAGATAAACTCAGATAAATCACAGCAGAGTAGTTGGCTTCTGCTGTACTCACCACTCAAAATTATATCAAAGTATAATATTGTTAATGAAGCTGTGTTGACTGAAAGCATGCTGGTAGGACATATTACTTTCTTAATTTCTTAATTTTATTGATTGAACTTTGTATTGATACTGTTGTTTCTGTTGAGAAATACTATCTGGAGTGTTTATGTTTATTAAAAAAATCTGGCACAAAAAAATAGAAGCTTCTTCCAGAACTCATCTTAGGTCTTGTAGACCTTGTAGATGGGAGGTGGCTGAAATGTTGACTTAAGTGTCTTTTGTAGTTACTAGTTAATTATTTTCATATTTCAAAGGATCTCTAATAGAGAAAAAGATAATCCTTCAGCCTTCAAAAGTATTGAAAATCTGAATACACATCCATGATCAGAAGTCCAGGACAGATACTCAAGCAGTTGCTGTTCCTTTGCTAGAGGAAAGCAGTAACTATACGGCTGTGGGATTTTCTGTGGGCTGTAAAGACTTCTGAGATGTTCTCTTCATTGGGAGAGAGTAGCAACCACATTTTTTCTTGCTGTCTGTTTTTAATTAAATGTTTGATGGTGGATCCTCACTTCTGTAGGTAGGCCACATATTCCCCTGCTAATGGTTACCTGAGTTACAGCACCACTGATGTCTCTAATAAGCTGGATAAAGTCCCAGGTAGTCATTTGGATGTGCTTAAGTGTCCTGGCAGAGATATTGCACTTTGAGCTTCCAGATCTGAGAGAAGATCCCACGTGCCCCTCTTTGGCAGAAAGAGCTGGGCAGGTCTGGTAGTCACAGGTACTGGGTTTGGCAGTCAGTTTTGTGTTCTGTGCCAGTCCTGCACACCTGGGGAGGACCCTCAGCTGTACCCATCACTTCTTTGGAAATGCTTACTTGCTACCTGAGAAGCATTCTGCTGCAGACTGCTGTGCAAGAGACTTTGCTCCTTCAACTTGTTCTTTCCAAGAGTATATCTCTTACTGAATACTCCAGGGAGTACTTACTCCTAAGTAAGGAGTTCCCAAAGGGAGCAGTTACATATGCTGCTAAGTGCAGGATTTCAGCACACTGCCTCCTCGTGGTTTGGCCACATGTTGCACTGTACTCTCCATGCTGCCAGTTATATGGCTGGAAAAGAGAAAGGTTTTGAGCAGACCAGTTACCAAACCCTGGTGACTGAGCTGTGCATTAGCTGGTCCTGGAATAAGAGAGGTGATGACTTGTGGTGGATCATTTCAGCACCTGCCAGAAACAATAAGCTATTCTGTTTCTTTTGTAGAAAGTGAGAAAAGACTCTAGCAGAGATAAAGTGCATGCTCTGTTTGCAGCTTAACTCACTGTGAAGCTCAACAGAAGGCCCAGACAAATCTGACTGCCTGGGGCAGACAGAAGGAGAGCTTCTTACCTTGCTGCAGCGGAGCAGCTCTAATTTTTTCTGATTGAGTTTGACTTCAGAGCAACCCACAGAACTGGAAAATACTGTTCTTTCCTGTTTTGAGAGCTGCCTTCCTCATCCTTATCAGCTGGTGGTTGAAAGGCACTATAAAGAATTCATTGTCAGGGACATTCCATGCTTTCCCACTCAGACTGTTGGTCAGTGTCACCTTAGGTCTAGCCTCAACTCTTAACTCCATCAGCTTTTCCAGATTCTTTTAAACATATCAAGAGTTGGCATTCACCTGCCCTGTATCACCTTGGAGCTCTGCTGCAGCAGGTTGAAAATGAACAAAAGGAAAATACTTCTAAAAACTAAATGTTAAGCTGTAGGATTTAAAACCACTGGAATTTTAGGAGGTCCAAAGTATAAATTGGTTCCCAGTGGGATTAGGCAGATTCATAGATTTGCCCAGTACAGACTCTTAACTGGGACATTGTCAGTGCAGCTCAAGCCAATTGGTTCTTCAGCAGCTGAGTCCTTGATTGGAGGATGTGCTGAGGAGGAACATCCTGTTGTGTTTCTTACACTCTCTCCCCAAGTATCTGTTCTTGGTGTGAATAGCAACAGGATATTTGAGTACATGGTCCTTTCATTGGACTGACTGCAGCAGTCCTTAGCTTTGCCTGTCCTAAGAAGTTTTGGTTTCTTCTTCAGAATGTGTGAGCTGTTCTGTTGGGAGGATTCAGACAGAGCTAATGAGAGGGGACAGGACCTCGAGCACCAGGGGCTGTGATTCCAAGCAGAGCATGTGAGTGAGTGCTCTTACTGCAGCCCTGCCTCTGCAGAAAGGTCTGTCCCAGCCACATCCTGATAGTTTGGAGTTGCCTTAATCTGTAGAATACTTGCTCACTTTCAGATTTTTCTGTCAAGGACATTGCCATTTAGCCAGAGTTTTGTCCTGCATTGTATCCCCCAAAAACAAAAAGTGGGAGTTGAAAGCAGTGTTAAGGTGTACACTGTTAAACCAGATGCCTTTGGTCCACTTGTAGAGCATGTGAGTTACAGGACAAATTCGTAGATTGTTGTTTGCATTATGCTCTGAGAGGGAATGCCCAAATTAATTTCTTATGCAGCAAATGTTTCCAGGGTCTATTTCTACCAATCAAAGACTAGGCCAGCAGAAAATGGGAAATGCTTTAGGAGTGGTGGTTGAACCTTAGTGATCCATTGCAAACCTGTGCCAAGTGTCTGAAATAATTCTGAGGGGTACGTTAGCTCTGTTAAGTATACCTATAAATAAATTTTCCTTCTTCATCTGGATGCCTTGAGGTTTTTTTGCTTATTATTGTAGGGTCTGCTGTCTGTCTGTGAAACTGGATGGGGGATGTATTTGAGCAGGAGACATTGTTCATATTCTGAGCAGCAGAAAAAAAGCCATGTTTATTATCTTGGGAGGGTTCTCATCTGCTTCAAATCCTTAGAACCTTTCTTTCAGATGTCTTTGTTTCTATTTCACTTTGTTCTTATTTCTGTCAGCCAACCTAAAACATGTATTAGATCCTGTATTGCTCTGGAATTGGCTTATTCTAAAACTTTTGTCTCATCTTGTAACTAAAAGTGAACAGAAACACCAAAGTCTCTAGGGGTGAAACTTGCTGAGCATTTCTAAAGATTACATTTGCTTTATTTTCTGTTTGTGATTGTGGGAACAGTGCTTTATCTGCCATAGGAAACAGAAAACATTACTGTGTATTTAGATAAAATACGGAGACAGTGGCTTTGAAATCCAGTTGTTGGGTATGATTTCCTTAAATTCCTGCTTGTCTAAGTTTCAGAAGTTGGGTACAGTCTCTGTCCAAGTATGTTCTGTTTACTTCTGAGCACACCATTTTGTGAGTGGGAGCTTGGTTGTCCTTTCAGAGGGAAGGACATAAAAAAGTTACAGTTTCATCATCAGTGGAATTATATTAGGCTTCCTCCATATAGATGAGTTATGCCCACTGTAAGCCCAAATAAACAAAAGTACCGTGTCTTCTCATTCAGGGCTTAAAACAGTGCTAAATTTAGAATTGGAATTACTCTAATAGGGAGGGATAGGTTGTTGCCACATCGTTTGATTCTAGTGCCTGTTTTATAATGTCTACTTAGAGCCTGTTTGGGGACATGATGTTACTTCAAGTCTTGTACTGCCTTACCACTTGCAGACACCAGCTCCTTCTCCCTTTCCCTCTTCGGGTTTGTCAACCATTATCTCCTTGTTGGGGTATAATTCAGTTTTAGACCATATTACTTGCCTCATCTCGAAGTCTTGACCTTTCTGTCTTACGATAATGTCAACCCTGAGGAGCTGGGCTGTAACTTTTTCTCTGAGGTTGGCAGTCTGCATCATTGAACCTTCCTGTTCAAGTGCACTGTTTGTGCCCTGCAAAGTCACCCTGGTCTTTTTTCCTGACTGAATTGCATGCTTTTGTCTATCTTGATGCTTGTTCTTATGACCGCTTTTAACATCAGAGCTTTTCCACCTTTTTTCTTGCCACTCTCCAGAACTCCTCCTAGTTCTAACTAAAGCTTTCCAATTGTTCCATTTCTGAATAATTACCTACGTAGTTTTGGGCCTATGCAGTAGCTGTAGTTATACTGTAACATTGTTTATATCTGTCCTCTGACAAGATTAATGCATGTTGTCATCCTGTATCTTGTTAAGACTCACACTTCAGGCCTTGAAAGGAGTTATTTCTACCTCTATGTTTAAGAGAAAAAAGGTATTTTAAAAATTAAGAATGTGTTAGCTCCGTAAGAGCAGATCAGGAGAAAGGACAGATCATATTATTTGGATAGAGAAGAAGGCAGGGCTGGGGATATTACCACAGAACATCGGTGGGGAGCCTCCTGAATTGGTGCTTGAGCCATTTCTGATACCCCAGGGTGTCATTTAGCATAAGCAAGTTTCTTTGCTGTGCCGTGGTGAGGTGTGTGAGGGCTTTAGAGTTCCCAAAGGTCTGTTATAGCAAACTACTTCATCCTGCTGCTGACTTTTGTACCCTCACAAGCAGAGGTGGTTCACATGCTGGTGTCTGGTATCCTGGTTATGGCCTGGCAGCATTCCTGGGCTTTGTTTTACTCCAGCAGTGTTCAAAAGAGTGGACAGGTCATTTTCTATGTTAGACTGCTTTTCATTAACTTGCAAGTCTCTCTCTCATTTCCAGTTGCCATCTTCTAAATGGATTCCAGTGAATTTTCAGGATCTTTGGACCCCCTGTCCTTGCCTGACAAACCACTCATTGGTGATCTTCCTGCTGACATGGAGTTTGGTGAAGATCTCCTGGGCTCCCAAACAGCTTCTACCCAGGAAGCTTCAGTTCTTCAGCCCCCTGGCTGGGATCAATCCAAGCAAATGACTGCAGATGAGGACTTGGACCTTGTAGTGAAAGCAGACAGCATGTCTGAACTAAATAAATCAAATGACCGTGTTCTAGATAAACCTGGTGTATTGGAAATGCTGGAGAAACCTGGTGTCTTAGATGATTTGGGTAAAACTTCTGACTTGGTGGAACTAGATAAAGCAGAAGGTCTGGATGGGCTGTGTAAGGCACAACCTTCCCAGGACGTGGAGGGGGGGCTGGCAGACTCCTCTGCCCTGTCTAGAGAAGCCGTTGGTCCAGAAACGGGGAAAGAAGGGGAGGATGCACCAAAACATTGTTCTGGGGATATAAAGGAAGATGGTGCTGCTGCTATTCCTGCACTGTCTGGTGACAATATCCCTGAATCAGCCCAACAACCCCTTGACTCTAGGGACCTCAGCAGTGCCCCAGCTGAGGGCACAGAAGAAACCACAGCACAGTCCTCAAGTCCCGCAGTACCCCCACCCCAACTCAGTCTTAAACAAACGAAGAAAATGAAGTTGAAGGCACCAAGGAAAAACTCACCTGTGCAGAGGGAAGGGCTGGCAGGGGAGGCGGAGGCGCAACTAAGCCCAGACAACAGAACTGCAGCTTTGCCCTCTGAGCCTGTGGAAGAAAACCGTGCAGAGGAAGGGAATGATAATGGAAAGAATTCACATAAAGAAAACAGTGTACTCAAAGCACAGGAAGCCTTACCACCAACAGGTAAGTTGCTGCCTTAGCTGACTTTGGCTTGCTTTTGCTCAGGAGGTCATCCAGCTACACACTACTGAAACTGGAGTCTGCTCTGCATTCCAGCTCATTCCCTGCTATGGAAATAGCCAACTCTTCTGATGGTCTAGAATTGGGCAAAGCCTCTTGTGTAAAGGGAATAATGTTCTGGTGTGCACAAGCTCTTGCTTTGGCTTTCATGGCTTCAACTGATTTTTGGTGCTTGTGGAAGCAAGGAGCTTCCCTAGTAAAGCTGTGGCTGTACATCAGCTTAGCTCATGCTCTTCATTGCTGGAGTCTTTGCTGGAACTGAGGATCACCAGCAGGTGTTTTCAATAGGCAAAGTTCCTCTGCCCAGGCTGGCCATCCCTAGGAGATGCTCAGTCTTGGCCAGAAGCAGTTGGAGGTAACTGCCCACCCAGCCTGCCTCCTCCATTCAGGGAGGTCTCCCCCTTACAGGGCTCCTCCCAAGCTGTGTGTTTGGATTTGCAACTACAGGTGGTGGGTTTAGGAGCCTTCCACCACAAGAGCTGTACTTGATAGCCAGGACAGGCTGAGGCTTCATGTGCTCACTGACCCAAAGGTCATTCATTTGCTGCATTTGGAGAACACCTGTGCTCCTCTGTTGGAGAAAAGCAAGATGTTAGATGCAAGCTTCTTCTGTGCTTCTATTCTAGGAGAAAGCCTGTCTGGGAAGGGAAGTGAGCTGCCAGCTGAGAAGGTGAGGAGAATGCAGTCAAGTATGTATGATACAGGAGCACAGAGCATGTCTGGCTGTTGTCAGACTCTGTGAGGGACACTGGCTGTCTTGTCAACCCTCTGGAAAGGAGTTTGTATGACTTCTGTGACAGAATGATCCCTGTGCATTGCCACTATGCTGTAATGTGGCTTCAGTGTATCCCTCCTACCCTCAGCTGAAATGTCATTCTCATAAGCCTACTTCCCCCTCTCCTCTGTCTTGCCAGCTCTGATCAAGTATCCATGGAGTTTTATCTGTTTTCAGCCTTGGTATTGGGAAACCAAATCCCAGAAGTTGGAACTTCACTGTAATCTGGGATATTTGTCCATGGTTTTCCTAGCTGATAGTTAGCCTAACTATTTTCTGAATGTCTTTTAGGAGCAGAAAAGAAGCGAACGACCCAGAAGATCAGAAACTGCCAGGCCTGAAACTGTGAACTCCTCTGAGAGCAGTGAGTAACTGGAGTTGGCCAATCCCTGTTTTTAGCCGGAGAGAATGGCCCAGATGCATTGTGGGCACATAGTCCATGGTGGGAGTACAGTGGGAACTCTGGAACTTCCATGCAGACTTCCCTTCTACACGGGACAGGTCCTTTCAGCTCACTAGTCTTTATCCTGGGGTACTTGCCTTGCTTTCTCAGGGCACTTTGGTCAAAACAGGGATTGTTGTAGTATTTTTACAGTGGTATGTAGGCACCAAGCACTAAGTAACAGAATGAGATTTGAGGGTGTTCCCAGGAAATCCATCTTCTCACCCAGGAACTTTCTTCCTTTCTCTCTATGAGAGCAGGCTGTCTGAAGGAAGGTTGCATCTTGGAGATTTTCCTGGAGAAGTACCTGAAGTGTGTGTTCTTTGAGATATTGAATGTCACTCTGCTATTCCCTAGTATTTGTGTGTTGCTCCTTTATTGCCTGCCTGTGCTAGAATCTCGTGATCAGCACATTCCCTTTCAGGTCTAACAGTTCTTACAGGGTAGAAGTTCACACTTTGGGCTTCTGCTCTATCTTGGCATATCATGATTTCCTAGACAAGAATTGTATTTAAGCCTGGTTTGCTTAAACACCTCTTGATTCATCTCCAGTTACAACAGAATTTCTTTTAAGGGTTCCTTTATCATGCTACCCAGACAGGAACAAAGTACGTTAGAGGGACTTTAGAAAGGTGACTCAGAAAATCCCAGTGTGTGTCTCACAGCAGTTTCTCACTTCCTTAATGAGGGCGTTTTTGATCTTCCTCTGCTGCTTTGCAGTTCCAGTCTCTGACGAAGACTCTGATGCAATGGTGGATGATCCCAACGACGAGGATTTCGTTCCTTTCCGCACGCGGCGCTCCACTCGGATGTCCCTGCGCACTCAGATGGCCCAGCGAGCCGCCCGCTCCACCTTCACCAAAATGACGTGTGCCAACTGCCGGACCCCGCTGCAGAAGGGCCAGACTGCCTACCAGCGGAAAGGGCTTCCTCAGCTCTTCTGCTCCAGCTCCTGTCTCACCACCTTCTCAAAAAAACCACCTGGCAAGAAGATATGCACCTTCTGCAAAAAGTGTGTGTTCATTCCCCTTTCCTCAGTGCTCCCGTGCTTGTGACCCCACTCACCTGCTCTACAGCTCTCCTGCCAGTCCCCTTCCTATGGCCCTCGTTTATCCACATCACTCCTGCCCACTGCCAGCTGCTGCCCCATGTCTTCTTTCACACACTGCCTATCCCATGCTCCCTACACCCCCTTCATATTCTCGCTTTCCCTGCCTGTCCCCAGACTTAGTGCCCCATATTTCAGCCTCTCCTCAAAACAACCTCCTGCATGCTCTGTCTTCAGACACTGCTCCCCTGGGCCAGGACAGAAGCTGCTGTGAGACAGTTCTTGCCAACTTTTTGGGACACCAGAAAGTCCTGTGCGTTGCAGTGAGCCATCCTATCCCTTTGTGGCAGGATACACATGTCCGTGAACTAACACATCCCCTCCTGATCCCCAGGGAGATCTGGAACACCAAGGACTCTGTGGTTGCCCAGATTGGTTCAGGTGGCTCTTTCCATGAGTTCTGCACCTCTGTCTGCCTTTCCCTCTACGAGGCCCAGCAGCACAGACCAGCACCTCAGTCTGCAGATGCCTCGGACACCAGCCGCTGCAGTGTTTGCCACAGACCTGGCGAGGTAAACAAATCCCTTGTCCTTCCCATGTCCTGGATGAAGAGCCTAGGAAACACAGCACTTAGTCTTGGTCAAGGCCAGCCATTTGCCAGGTTTTCCTGTGGTATGAGGCCTCAGCTCCTGAGCTGCCTTGGGCTCACTGCTTCCTGCCACTCTGTTCTCCCAGCTGCTCCTCTGACTTTTGGCAAGAGATGCCACCCCAAGTCCACACCAGCTTCCAGTATGCCACTGCCCAGAGTTTTAGTGCTTCTTGTCCCAAGGGCTGTGCTTGTAGTGGTACAGCTGCATTGGAAGGAGGCCCATGGATGGTTTTGGGGTGACAGCAGTGATGTCTCCACAGATCCAGCATGAGGTCAGCAATGGGAGTGTGGTTCACCGCATCTGCAGTGACGCCTGCTTCACCAAGTTCCGGGCCACCAAGGGGCTGAAAACGAACTGCTGTGACAACTGTGGACTTTATATCTACAACAAGGGCTTGCCCCTGGAGTACCTCTTCCATGAAGGCCAGCAAAAACGCTTTTGCAACTCTGCCTGTCTCAACAGTTACAAGAAGGTATGTGTGGGCAGCTGCCTGGGGTGGGGGGGTTCTCTATGGGCACACAGCAACTTTGCTTGGTGTAGCACAGAGCATTTTATTAAATGGCAGGTGACTCAAATCCCTTTTAACTGTCAAAGCAGTTAAAAGATTGCTTGGGAGAACTCTGAAGCAGGCAAACAGAATTGATTTAATCTTCATAGGGCTCACCATAGACCCAAGCATGGGTCAGAAAGTCAGTGAGTTGATGGTAGAGTGACACTGGTATATGCACTTAGCATGGACTAGCTTCTGGATGTCTCCCTAAAGCTGGATATGTTCCTCTGTCACCTGAGCAGTCTTCACTTAAATGTGTGGAAGGGATTGCCAAACTCTGTATTCCTGCCAGGCTACCCTTGAAATGAAAAGCTGAAGTGCCAAAGGCAGCTTTTTTTTGCCACCACCACTTGAATCTTCAGACTGTGCACCTGTCTGTCCCTGGCATCAGGTGGTCATTGCAGGAGAGCAGTCCTGTGGTGGATACAGCAGTGGAGTGGGATGTAGTAGCTGGACCTTGCCAGCTGTGATGGTCTCCTGGAAGCTCTGTTGTGCTCTCTCCTTGCAGAAGAACACTCGGGTCTACCCCTGCATGTGGTGCAAGACGCTGTGCAAAAACTTTGACATGCTGCCCAACGTGGATCGCAGTGGCAAGATGGGCCTGTTCTGCTCCATTTGCTGCACTACCTCCCACAAAGTGAAGCAGTCAGGCCTAGTTGGTAAGACCACCTGTGTAGAGGGAATCATCACCTCTCCACTCTTAATTCCTTCCTTGGTATTGTTTATTACTTCTGGATGGGACTGAAAAGAAGGTAAAAGCCTGGGGGAAGAGTCCAGTGACACAAGTGGAAGTACAGAGGGAGAAACCCTTGCAGCATGTAGATGTCTTAATACAGAGGGCAGTGTACATTGCTGTTCTTGGGAATGCAGGGAGCAGTTGTAGTGCTGGATTGTGTTGGCATTGTCCTTTCCATTACATGGTGTACTGGGGGTCTAGGAATAGGTCAATGCTGTTTTGTCCTAATTCCTAGAGCCAGGGTCACTTCCTTGAACCACTCTGCTCTCTGTCTGTTTAACATTTCTGTCCTAGCAGAATCTGGTATTCTTAGTTTCCTGCTGTTCTTGTCCCTTGCTTTTTGATAATAGCTTAACAGACTGAAGATGGGCGAGTAGCTTACATGCCATCTTCAGAATCCAGTCCCACATCCTGTGCTGCTGCCCTCACTAATTCCTATCTGTTTCATCAGGTCCCCCTAGACCCTGCAGCTTCTGCAGAAAGAGTTTATCTGAACCCTGCTATTACAACAAGACAGACCGGGTTGTCTACCAGTTCTGCAGCCCCAGCTGCTGGACCAAATTCCAGGTACTGAAATACCCTTCATACTGGGCTGGGCCATGGAGCTCATGCCTCCTTTCACACTAAGCAGAGGCTGCACCTTCCTTGAGCTCCTCAGAGAGGGTTCCTAAGAAACCCTGTGAAGCGCAGGAGTTTCAGTGACGGTTATTGCTCAAATCCCAGTCTTGGCCCTGTCTCCCCCATCCTCCTTTTGGATAAGGTGGGCTGTAATTCAGTCCTGTCTATCAGGTTATGCCCAGCAGGATGGCAGTGCAGAGCTGTGCTGCATGAGTGGTTTGAGATAGAGTGGCCTTATAAGAGCACAAGCAAATGCACAAGTCAGCAAAGCACAAGTGCCCACCTGATAGCTAGGTGGAAAAGGGCAGAGCTGCTCTCTCAGCCAGGTGTCACTGAGAAATATAAGTCTTCAGGATGTATTGTCTAAAAATTTATAACTAGCAGGCCTGGATACCTCTTGTTTAATAATCCTCAAATCCTTGACTGAGACAGATTGACAAATTGGTGATTTTTAATCTTCTGATGTTAAGTTTCAGCATATGTGAGATGTCTGTGGTATTCATAGGCAACTTCAAGAATATTAGTTTTGTACAGTTGTCAAAGAACAAAGTAACAGCCAGGAAGACATGAGAAATTTATGCCAGGACATATATTGGGCAACCAAGAAAATGTAGAGAATCTAGAGGTAAGGGTTAGTTACCAGCAGTTGCAGTATTTCATTTTGAGATTTGGTTTGTTTGGGGTTTTTTTTTGGGAGGGGGGGGAGAGGCATTTTGTTGGTTGGGTTTTTTTTGGTGGGTTTCTTTTTTTGTTTGTGTTTTTTTATGAATCCTTGATGTAATCCCTTACTGAGGTCACAAATAGTGTGAATAGTGTAGCTATAGAGCTTTTAGTATTGTAGACTTCATAAGACTAGAATCATAGAACAGTTTGGGTTGACAGGCACATTTAGATGTCATCTGGGCCAACCTACCCTGCAGTAAGCAGGGACATCTTTAACTAGATCAGGTTGCTCAGAGGCCTGTCCAATGTGACCTTGCATATTTCTAAGGTTAGGGCACCTACCTGTGCCAGTGTTTCACTATTCTCATTTTTTTATAGCTCATCTCAATATGCTCTCTTAGATTAAAACTATTACCCCTTTTCCTATTGCAACAGGCTCTGCTAAAATGTGTGTCCCCATCTTGCTTATAAGCCCCTTAAGTATTGAAAGGCCACACGGTAAGGTGTCCCCAGAGCCTTCTCCAAGCTGAATAATCTCATCTCTCAGCCTTTTGTGATAGGAGAGCTGTTCCAGCCCTCTGGTCATTTTCATGGCTCCAGCAGGTCCATGTCCTTCCTGTGCTGAGACCCCAGAGCTGGAGGCAGCAATGCAGGTGGGGTCTCACCAGAGTGGAGCAGAGGGGCAGAATCCCCTCCCTTTACTTGCTGGTCATGGTCCTTTTTGGGCAGCCCAGGATACACTTGGCTTTCTGGGCTGTGAGACCAGGTCCTGTGCAGCCTCTCATCCACCAGCACCCCCAAGTCCTCAGCAGGGCTGCTCTCCATCTGTTCATCTCCCTGGACTGACACTGGGGTTACACTGCCCTGGCTGCAGCACCTTGTACTTGGCCTCATTGAACCTCACGAGATTCCTATGGGCCACTGCTTGAGCTTGTCCAGGTCCCCCTGGATGTCACTCTGTCCCTCAGGGATTTCAACTGAAGAACTCAGCTTGGTATCATCTGCAAACTTGCTGAGGGTGCTCTCAATCCACTGTGTCCTTGATGAAGACATGAAACAGTTCTGGTCCCAGTACAGGCCCCTGAGGGTCAGCGCTTGTTGCTGATCTCCATCTGGACATTGAACCTTTAGTCACTACCTTCTGGATGCAACCATCCAACCAAATTCCTCATCCACCAAACAGTCCAGCCATCAAATCATCTTTCTCCAGTTTAGAGAGAAGGATGTCGTGGGGAACTGTGCCAAAGGCTTTACAGAATCTGGAGAGATTACACCCATAGCTCTTTGCTTCTCCACTGATGTAGTCACTCCACTGAGAGAGACCACCAGGTTGGTCAGGCAGGACTTGCCCTTGGTGCAACTGTGCTGGCTGTGGTGGCACCTCCTGTTCTCCCTGTGCCTCAGCACAGCTTCTGAAAGGATCTGTTCACGATCTTCACACACACAGCACAGTTAAGTTGTTTCCAGGGTCCTCATTTCTACCCATTTTAGAAATGGTTGCAGTGTTTCCCCTTTTCCCAACTGGGACTTCATTAATTCACCTGACTTGAAATACTGCCATCTAAAATCAGCTTTGTAAACATATGAATAAACCCATGCATCACCTGGATTAGGAACTGTCTTGCTGGTAGATCTCAGAACACACTTGTCAAAGAAAAAACACTGAACAGATTGTTTCAAGATGGTTTCTTGAGAGGATCAGAACTTGAAGATCTTCATGAATCATTTGACATTAAAGTCAAAGTAAGCATGGTGAAATTTAGCAGATGAAACAAAAACTGGTGAAGTGTTGGCCCATGCTGCGTTCAGGGTGGTCACAGAAAGCAAAGCAATTAGATTGATTGACAAGGCTGATTCCTCCTAATGTGTGCTTAAACAGTTTCAGTGCAAGATCCTGTGTCAGCCTTACTCAGGTAGTGTGGGGATGCAAATCTTGGGAAAGTGTGGATTTTAGAAAGGCTGTGGAATTACAGCAGATAAACTATTCATTATGAGCATTTCAGTTTACAGCCACATTCCTATTAAAAGGAATAATTTATTGCAAGTAAAAGCAGGTAAACGTAGAGTTAATGTTTGAGGGCCAGGGAGCAAAAGAGCTACCTAGAATGATGCACATATAGGAAGGTTATTCTTCAGTGTTCACTTCATTTTCAATGCTGAAGAAAATTTGGAAGCATTCTGAAAAAAAACCAAAAATTAAATTTGGGCTTTAAAAACGTTTGTACTGAGGTACTTGCAGAATGTCTTATCTGAGGTTATCAGAAAGAAAACCAGGAATGACTTTAATGACAAATATATATCCTTGTGGATAAGACACCAAATGCTAAATGCATTGTGGACAGGAGACCAAATGCTGTTAAATCTAGCCGATTAATCTAGCAGAAAATGGGATAAGAGGCTTGGTTGAATTCTTAAGTTGCATTATCTTGAAAGTAGAAACCAGGCACTTTGAGAGGCTACCTCTGAAGAGGTAGCAGAGCCCTCATCATTTATGTTTTCAAATCCAGTGGCATGGCAGCTTGAATGAAAGCTTGCCTTCCTGAGAAGAGCTGGACCCAGCACACGGGAAGCAAAGTGCTCTCAAGAATCAGCTCTCCAGGAGCTTGAGACACGATGTGATGGACTTGACTGAGTCCCCACAGTGGCAGCAGGTCCGAAGGGGCCAGGCAGGCTGCAGGCCATGAAGGAGGTGGCAGTGGTGGCAGTGTGAGGCAGAAGCCTGCTGCCCTCCTGCTGCTCTCCCTCCATGAGCTGTCTCTGTCTCCTGCAGCGCACCAGCCCAGAAGGTGGGATCCACCTCAACTGCCATTACTGTCACAACCTGTTCAGCGGGAAGCCGGAGATCCTAGACTGGCAGGTGAGGACTTCCCCTGGGGGATATTGAGGTGGAGGCAAACACTACTGAGAACCTCTGGGGTACTTCCTCTCCCTGCTCTCAAGCAGAGCTCCTCCTGTGCCAGTCTTCTGAATGCTTTAGCTGCAGGGATGTGCCAGGAGACTGTGCTGCACTCCTGATGTTCAGCAGGATGTCAGAAGGGCAGGAGGAGACCACTCCTGCCAAATCCTGTGCCAGGAGAGCTGGTGACTCAACTCAGCTCTGTAGTCTTTCTCTTGCTTCCCTGAGAAGTGTGGGAACCTCCTGCCAGCCTGGCTGACCTGGCTGTGGTCTCTTTGGCAGGACAAGGTGTATCAGTTCTGCTGCAAGGACTGCTGTGAGGACTTCAAGCGGCTGCGTGGGGTGGTGTCTCAGTGTGAGCACTGCAAGCAGGAGAAGCTGCTGCATGAGAAGATCCGTTTCTCTGGAGTGGAGAAGAACTTCTGCAGCGAAGGTACTTGGGGAAGGCATGGGAGAGACAGAGCCCCCATGCCAGCCCATGCTGGGGGAGGAGAAGAGAGCATGGAGAGGAACAGAGGGGAGATTGTCTTAGCCAGGCCCTGGGGCAAGAGCCTTGCCATGCAGTGAAGGGAGGACTGTTGTGGGGATGGCTTGCTGTCCAGCCAGGCCCTAGGGCAAGATCTTTACCATTCATTGTGTCCTTGGGGAGGGCCTTCTCACAGCTTTTCTCTCTCTGGGGGCTGGGGAGACAGCAGGTGGCAGCTCCGCTCCTCCTGTCATCATGCACTTCTACGCTCTTGCGTCTGGGCTGGCCTGACCTGGCCTTGCCCTGCCTGCTGGGTTCCTGCACACAGGAGGTTGGAGTCAGACTCTTCCTAGAAGCATGGAGGTGAGAGATGGCAAGTCCCCGTGAGGTCCCATCTTATCCCAGCCCCAGGGGCCAGTGCTGGATTGTTCCCTACAGTGTGTTGCGTGTGCTCTGTTGTCTCCGCAGACCTGGATTCTGGTCATGTTTGGGTCAGGGAGGCCCCCAGTTCATCCTGGGAAGGTTTCACTCCTATTGTTTCTCCGCAGGGTGTGTGCTTCTTTACAAACAGGATTTCACCAAGAACCTGGGCCTGTGCTGCATCACCTGCACCTACTGTTCTCAGACCTGCCAGCGGGCGGTCACCGAGCAGCTGGAGGGCAGCACCTGGGACTTCTGTAGTGAAGACTGCAAAAGCAAATACTTGCTCTGGTACTTCAAGGTCAGTATTGGCACTGGCAGCTTGTGCTAAGTGCTGTGGTGGGCACAGCACCCAGATAAGTGGGCATTGCACTGAGGAAGTTCGCACTGCTGGAGTCTGGCTGGCACTGCTGCGGAGAACCTGGCACTGCTGGAGTCCTGCCTGGCAATGACGGGACACTGCTACGGGGAAGCTCACGTAGCTGGAGTCCCCAGCTGATCCTGCCAGACAGAGCACTGCACTGAGGAAGCTCACAGTGCTGGATCCGCGGCCAGTGCTGCTGTGAGAAGTTCGCACCGCTGGAGTCCCTGGCTGGCACTGGCAGGGCACTGCTGTGGGGAAGCTCACTGCACCTTGCGATGTGCACCTTTCACTGGAGAGTTGTGTTGCACTCGGAGGGGGTGTGGTTAGTTACTCGTTGTTTCTCTCCTGCTGATGCGGGCTTTAGGCAGCTCGGTGCCATGCCTGCAAGCGTCAGGGGAAGCTGCTGGAAACCATCCACTGGCGGGGGCAAATCAAACACTTCTGCAACCAGCAATGTCTGCTGCGATTTTACAATCAACAGAACCAGCCCAACCTGGACACGCAGAAGGGGCCCGAGAGCCTGCTGAACAGTGAGTAGGAGGGAGGGAGGGGACCTGCATAGCTCAGTGTGAGAGACACAGGGAAGACTCAAGAGCAGGGGGTGGAAGCTGCCTGCCCAGGACTGGAGGAGACGCTAGGGAACAATCCTGCACTGGCCCCTGGGGGGGAAAGGACGGAGTGGGACCTAATGGGCTTCTCCATCTCTAACATCTATGGTTCTATGACACACAGGGCCCAGACGGGAGGAGCCGGTGCCAGCGTGCTGCCTGTAGCTCACACTCTTAGCGAGGATACTCAGGGATTTAACATCCTCAAGTTGCCAGCGGAGAGCTCGATTTACAGGGTTAGGGGACAGCGTGGTTTGGCATGACAATCCACCTGCAGCCCCACACCACCTCCGAGCTGTGACCTTCTCAGATCTCATAAACTAATCTGGATTGGGCCAGGTCAGTGCTTGGATGGGAAACATTCAAGGACAAAGAAGGGTGCTGCAGGAAGTGGTGCTGGTGATGCTGTAGGTGGGCTCTCCTTCAGCCAGAGCTGAACCTAAAACGGTCTTGAGGGAGCACTGAGCTGCTGGAGGCACTGTGTCTTGGATGTTAGATTGGAGTCCTACCACTTACCCAAAGTTCACTGCAGTTCACTTTGGGAAGTTGCCAACCCTGTGTCCCAGATAATCCCATTCTGCATCCATGGAGTTCCAGCTGGAGAGGAGATTTTCGCTGCCTGTTGCCCCATTTCCTATCATTAACTCGAACCAGTTCCTTATGGAAGATTGCAAAGTGCTTTGGGATCCCTCAGGATGGAAAGTGCTCCTAGTGACAGTGACAAGACACCGCTTGGCCCTTGGACACCTGCAGTCTCATTCTGCCTGGTCATTCGCAGGCCACGATCTCCTGGGTGACCAGGGGGATATAGTTAAAGTGCTTGCAGCTAATGGTGGGACTTGTTGCAGTGCATCAAGCTTCAACACACCTGCATCACAGGTTCAGGGCTTTGCTGGCCTCACTGGAATTTCATGATGTGTAAAACCCTGGCTAGGGTATCTCAAGGAGGGGAAACCAAGACAAGGACCTTTGCATGAGAGACCTCATCCTCCATCTTCAGACTCTTGAGGTTCCTCCTGTGACTGTAGTCCACTGATGATAGAACAGGGGAAGCTCCACGTGTCGTTGCTGCTCAGGCAGGTTCCCCCAGCTAGGGGAAGCCCAACCTGCCTTCCAAGGGCCACACTCCATAACAGGCTGTGGGAGGTGACAGCTCAAGTGGCAGCACACTGGAGTGACCTGGATAAGGACCTGTTGGTTTCTGCTGCCACAGAGGTGCCCATGGGAATTCTGCTTGATTCAGTGTTCTGCTGCCCAAGAGAGGAAGAGGTGTGTGACATGCTGGTTCCTGTAGCTCACCAAGTGATTCCACAGCCATGCTGTTCCATTTGTCCTCTGCTATCAAAGCATGTCACTTCTGAGAGATCTGTAACTCGGCTTTTGGGACACAGGCACAGTGGGAAAACTGCCTGCAGAGGGAAGCATGTTTCATACTGTTTAGCCGTTGTCTCCTTGGAGCCATGGACCACAAGACTAAGAAGTTCCTTCACCACCAACAACAACCACAAGAGTCTCAGGCCTCCTCCACCACGACTCTGGAGACCCCCCTAGAAACTCTGCTATGTGCAACCTGTAAGGATTAAAGGAAGCCAAGGAAAAGCCCATCATCAGTCATCAGTGCTCAGCTGAGCATGAGTTTCAGACTGCCCCAGCAGTTGCTGTGCTTAGTGGATGCTGCTGGTGGCACTGGGCCCTCTGTATGCTCTGGCACACCAGTCCCCTGCCAGATGTGGGATAGCTGTGGACATCCTTGCCCCAGGACTGTGGCAGACTGCTGATTTTGCAAAGGAAGGATGCTGAAGCCAGAATCCACCTACACAGAGAGCTTTCCAGCCCAACTGTGCTGTGCAGGGGATTTCAGGGGACTAGCTTCTGCATGGTCTCCTGTGGACCTGACAGTTGTGTTGCTAGCTTGCAAGGGACTACCTGGATTTCAGGCTCATCTTGGACAGAGCTGCTTATTCTTGCTTACTCTCTTGCAACCCAGTGATTGCCTAAAACCATTAATTCCTGTGACCCAGTGGCTGCTGCCAGTCTGGTGATCCTGAGCGTTCTTGTAGCTGATCATACAAGCAGATGTTCCCTTTCTGGGAACAGTTGATGTAGTGTGGGATTGAGGAACCTCTGCTTCAAAACTGTGCCCAAAGGCTTCCAAGAGGAGCTGGCTCTGCCCTGGGCTGTCCAGCTGCAGAGGGTAGAAGTCATAGTTGTGGCAGGCAGTGCCTTGACAGCTCCTTGTTAGTGTTGGGATGAGAATAAAGAACAAGCTGCAGCTTTCCTGGAAGCCTGGACACTTAGCACATGGCAGGAGAATCTTGTTTTCTTTAGTCCTAAATCATTGACCAGTGGAGCAATCATGTTTGCTTTAGATTCTGCTGCAGCAGAAATTCTGCTCATATGCTGTAGCTTGTCTTTTCTCAGGCCATTGGTGTTTCCTACCTGGACCTGCTGCCCATCCGCTTTGGGTTGTCAGGGTGAGTTCTTGGCCCCTGAGACTGCTGCAGATCCTATGGCTGAATGCGTAGCTGCAGACTAGGCAGTTTCCTCCAGCTGGGATTTATCTGTTGCCCCTTGTGGTGGTCAGCATGTGGAGCCTGATGGACCTCAATTTGTACAAGAATTATCCTGCATTTCCTTGGGTCAGAGGAAGTCTTCACAGTGTGAATGTCCCTGTGTTGGACCTTTAGGAATCTGGGTCTTTCCTGAAGGACCTGTCTGTGTATAGGAGTTGTGAATGGACCCGCCACTGCCTTTGGGTGCTGGGAGCTGCTGCTGTCCTTGCAGGGGTCTCCTGCATGCATGGCCCACCAGTAGAAGGAAATTCTTTTTGCCAGTCACATGGGTAACCAGGGATCACTGGAGACTGGGATGAAGGTGCTCTGTTAGCTCACCAGCCTTTGAGATGGGTGCAGGTTTTCTGCAGAGCACATGAGCTGGAATTATCATCCAAGGCAGGGTGATACTGTCACCACCCGAGACCAGCGTCTGCCACATGTGCCTCTTACCTGCAGGTGATCCTCTCTTTCTTTAGGGGAATTGACTGCATCCTTAGGGCTGGGGCAAAGCTTTCTCTCTGCTTTCTGGGACTTCTCATAATGCTGCTACTAGCTCTGTCACCTTCTTCCTAGGGATCTCGAAGCACTTTGCCAAGATATTTGTTGCAGGGATATGGAGGCACAGGGAGGGGCCATGGCTCGGTACAGCAAGCCAATAGGCAGAGCTGGGATTAGAGCCCTGGATTCCTCTCTATTACAAGGGGCTGGGATTTCTCCTGACCTGCTGTGATGGGGAAGGGGTGGACTGTAAGGGAGCACAAAATGACATGGGAATAACTTGGTTTTGGAGTTGTAGTGTCTTCTGAGGTGTTAGGGCTAGAGATTGTGGAAACATTAACTGTTCCTGGAGTGGCCAGGAGCAGTTTCTGGGGAGCCTGTCCCTGCTCTCTGGCTGCTTCCACTTCCAGTCCCAGCAGTGGGACGTGTTGGCCCAGGAGCTCTTGAACTTAAGAGTTGTTGCTTTCTCTTACAGGTCAGACTTCAGAGCCAAAACCAGCTGTCCCTTCCCCACAGAAGGCAGAGACTAACATGGTAAGACCCACTGGAGGTAGGAGTTAGCAAGAAAAAGGGGCTGTCCCCAAAGAGGGGATGGTTCTGCCATTGCTCAGGGAGATTTCATTCTTTTGCAACCAATGCATTTTGAGATGTCTGAGTAGTGGGACATGAAAAGAACTACTAGGAAGGCATCAACCTGTCTCCTGCAAGCGAGAAGAGTAACTGTTCCCCAGGAATCAGTGATGAGCTCTAGAGTATCCTGACACTGTGGCACTGGCTCCTTTGCACAGTGCTTTCCAGTGTCTGGGTATAGTTGCTGTCCCACTGTTCCCCTCTACCCCGTGGACAGGAGCCACCATTTCCAGACCCCTGGCACAACAGAGGCAGCACACAGGCTTGCTGCCTGCCAGGAACAGCTTGACAGTTCTTCATCACAGCCTGACTATGGGAGGGTCTGTGTGTTGGGGACTGCCAGGCACCACCACTCAGGAGGTGCTTTGGGAGTCATTCCATCTGCTTCGGTAGTAAGGAAGAGATTATGCTGCCTCTGGTGAGCACCAACCTTCGGCTTTCTGCATTTCCCCAGCTGTCAGCAAAGGCCTCCTCAGCCCAAGCGCCTCCAGCTGTGCCGCCTCCCACCCCACCTCTGGTTCCAGCCACCCCTCGGAAAAACAAAGCTGCCATGTGTAAACCACTGATGCAGAACCGGGGTGTCTCCTGCAAGTTTGAAATGAAGTCCAAAGGATGTCAGACAGGTAGGAAAACAAGACTTAACTGTAGGATTATAGGGGCCTTTTGGAAAGGCAAGTGGCATGTCCTTGCTCCAGACTAACTGTGAATCCAGCCTGAAATGCTGCACAGAGCAGGCCAGGTGTTTGGCACCATGCTGAGGAGTCTCTGTGCAGGTGCAGGGCACACATGGCAGGGCTGGGGATAGGGAGCCCATTTCTATCACCAGCAAAAGGAGAGATGTAGAGAGCTCTGTAGCATGATCCTACCTTGTATGGGACAGCTCCTGTTCCTCTGGAGATCATTAGCTTGTCTGAGGGCTGTCTGCTAAACAGGTTCTACTCTAGTTCCTGTTAGGTGTGTGTGTGTGTAGTCTGTAACATATGCAAGCTCTTAGCAGGGCTGTGTAAGAACAGGATTTGTAGTTCTGGCTAAGGCAAGCCTCTCTTGTTGCTGGCCTTTACTTGCTGCTATTCCAGCTCTTCCTGAGTCCTAGAGGCAGGTGGCTGGAAGGGCTGTGGTGCTGGATGGCTGGGGGCATGGCAGCATGCAGCAGAACTGGGTAGAGGAACTTCTGGGATTAAGGTCACTGATGTATTTTTGCTCTTGTCAGAGGCTGACTGGAAGCCCCAGCTGGTTGTGTTGCCAATCCCCGTCCCGATCTTCGTGCCTGTGCCTATGCATATGTACTGCCAGAAAGTACCTGTGCCTTTCTCCATGCCTGTCCCGGTAAGCAATACACTTCACCTGCTCATGATCTCCTACTGTTATGATCCTGCCTTGCTGAAGTCTCTCTGCTTCTCTGTTCACGCTCTTCTCCTGCCTCTGCTTTTATGTCAGTCTACTGAGTGTCAGTTTTCTGCCTGGTGTGCTGCTGTCCACAGGTGCCTGTGCCAATGTTCCTGCCCACCACACTGGAGAGCACAGAGAAGATTGTGGAGACCATTGAGGAACTGAAGGTGAAGATCCCCTCCAATCCCCTAGAGGCTGACATCCTGGCCATGGCTGAGATGATTGCAGAGGCTGAGGAACTGGACAAAGCCTCCTCGGACCTGTGTGGTAGGTTCTGCCATGGCTTGGTCTGGTTCAACAGCTGGGATCAAGTAGGGTTTGCCAGCTCTTGGTGCTAAAGTACCTGCCAGGATTGTGGCTCTTCCAAAGCCTTTATAAAGGAAGCAGGGAAGAGCAAGTCCTCAACTTCTGCTGAGGAGGTACCAGAAGGGAAGAGCTGCATCAGGGAGCAGTGTCTGCCCCTGTCCCACTTGGGGGTGCCAGTCTTGTGAGACATGTGCAGCTCTCTTAGTTTATTCAGGTGGCTGTTCAGATTCTTCCTTAAAGCAGCTTCCATGCTACTGAAGTCATGCAGCCCTGGTCTTGCAGGTTTTTTTACTTGAGAGCTGCATTCCTACAAATTGCAGTGATGGGGGTTGTGGCTGGGTAGACAACAATCTTCAGTGTCTTGCTGTCCAGGGAAAGCTGGACAGCTCAGGTGTCGTGGGGCTGCTCTGAGCACAGGGGCCCTGACTTCATTTTCCCGCTATCACAGGGAAAACAGACAAAAAACTTTCAAGAAAGTTTGGTTTACAATGAACTTTTTTGTTTCAGACCTGGTGAGTAACCAGAGTGCAGAGGGTCTCCTGGAGGACTGTGATCTGTTTGGACCAGCCCGGGACGATGTGTTGGCTATGGCTGTCAAGATGGCAAATGTCCTCGATGAGCCGGGCCAGGACCTGGAGGCTGACTTCCCTAAGAGTAAGAGCAGGGTGACACAGGTGGCAGGGCTGCTGAGGGTCCTTAGCTGCCTTCAGCTGAGTGCATTTACCTCCCCATGTCCTCTGACTGACCAGTTGTGAGAACCCTGCAGTGACTGCTTGCAGCAGGGGTGGGGAGACCACCACTTCTGAATGATTGTGTGCTTGTCCAGACTAAACTTTTGTGAGCAAAAGACCTGAAGAAGAGGGAATGAGAAGCTGATTTTAACAGCACAAAGAGCAGGGCAGCAGCACTGGTGTGTTTATGAATGATGATTCCAGAGGATCCAGCAAGATGAGAAACCTGGACAAGGCATAGCATCCTGAGAAATGGCAGAATTGCTGAGTGTCTGTTAACAGAGGGTGGAAGAAGAGGCAGGGACTTGTAGGAGCACAGCAGTGCTGAGGCAGGATGCTAGCAGCAAACAACAGAATTGAGGTTCCTGTGCCAGACTGTCCACAGTACTGGCCTGGCATCAGGGAATGAGGAATGTTCCTCAGGTTTAAAAAATAAGCAAAATACTGTCAGAGAGGAAAACGTAGTGTTCTGGTTATTCTGAGAAATTCTAGCATTGTCTACCAGAGCCATATTTCCTTTGTTGGGCTGTGGCTAAAAGTTTGTGCCAGGCAGTGGTAGAGGATGTGAAGTGTTCCCTTTTCATTTTGCTGTAAAATTCAGGCTAGCACAGGGGCCAGGATGAGATGTCTCAGCTGAGCCCTTCTGTCTGTGTTTCCTTTCAGACCCTCTAGACATCAACCCCAGTGTGGATTTCCTCTTTGACTGTGGGCTGGTGGGACCAGATGATGTGTCCACAGAGCAAGATCTGCCTCGAGCTGTCCGGAAGGTGAGCTCTCTGTGGGTACTGCCTGCTTAAAGCCCTGCAGGTTTGGAGTGGCAGCTGCCACTTGGGATGTATGAGGTGAAGGGTACCAGAGACTTTGGTGTGCTGGGGAGGTTGTGCCCCCTCTCTTCAGGGCATGGTTGGTCTGCGGGCCACATCTTGAATGAAAATACTTGCTTGTCACTTTGGAGAAGCTTTGAATGCTACAAGTCATGTGACAGGTGGTCTCCTTATTGCTTGTGACCCTTGCAATTAATGAGCTTTGTTGGCTTGGCTGCCAGCAGAACGCTGTCTGCTGCCATGGCACACTGTAGGGAGCTGACAGTCAGCAGGTGTGAGTGGTGGCCAGGACTCCTGCACCTGTCCCAGGTAGGTGCTCAGTCTCACAGAACACCTCTCTGCAGGGGCAGAAGCGCCTGGTGCTCTCTGAAAGCTGTTCCCGGGACTCAATGAGCAGCCAGCCCAGCTGTACAGTGCTCAACTACTCTTATGGTGTGAATGCCTGGAAGTCCTGGGTGCAAGCCAAATACGCAGGGGGAGAAACCAGCAAGGGAGAGGAGCTACGCTTTGGCCGTAAGTGCCTTGTCTGGATGCACTGGAGTGGCAGAAACCTCCCAGAAGCTGGACCTTGGGGTGTTGAGGTGTTCCTGACCTTGTAGGCTGTTGTCTGAGGCTGTTGTGCTTCTCTCTGCAGCCAAGCCCATGAGGATCAAGGAAGACATCTTAGCCTGCTCAGCAGCTGAGCTCAACTATGGCCTGGCCCAGTTTGTCAAGGAGATAACCCGGCCCAATGGGGAGCGCTATGAACCAGACAGCATCTATTACCTCTGCCTTGGCATCCAGCAGGTGAGGGAGGCCTTGCTGTCCTCAAGTCCTCTACAGGCAGACTTGGGGATCAGATCTGATATGGGGAGCTTGTACCTTTCATTCTGCTTTCTGGGGACCCAGAGAGGCTGGCTGGACCGTACTTCAGTGCCTCAGCCCAGGACAGCATCCCACCTGGTTTGGTCTTTGTTCCCAAGCTCAGAGGATACAGTGGCAACTATTCCCCAGCCTTGCACCCTTCTTGCACATCTCTGAGGAGGGCTGGGGGATCCCCCAAAACTCAGGCCGTTCTTCAGCACCAAGTCTGCTTTGTCATGCCCCAGAGTTTTCCTTGCAGCTCTCAGAAGTGTCTGCCCAGCAGCTCTGGTGGTACAAGGAGGGGTGCTCTGCACATGTGTCCTGGGCTCTGTGGGGAGGGTTTGCATTCCAGGTGCTGCTGAGTTTCTCTTGACTGTGTGTTCTGTCCTTTCTAGTACCTGCTCGAGAACAATCGTATGGTGAATATATTTACAGACCTTTACTACTTGACCTTCGTGCAGGAGCTGAACAAGTCTCTGAGTGGCTGGCAACCCACAATCTTACCAAATAGTATGTGTCTTCAGAGTACCTTCAGTCCCTACATATATCCAGTTTGTGCTTGTAGCCTTGGATCCTCTGGCCTGATTGTGCTCCCCCAGCTTCAACCTTGGCAGGGGCAGCACAGTCCTGCTGTGTGGTGAGGTCACATTGACCCAAACCAACTGCAAAGCCAGTGTGGTTTATGCTTCAGAGGCTTCTGTTGCCCACAGTCAGGGTATCTGGGAGCAGAGCACATGTGCTTTGTATCCTGGGATAATTTGAATCCTTACACTTCACAGTGATGTCTCCATCCTTTGGCAAGGAGGATGCCAAGCCAAGAGGCACACTGGTGCATGTGTTTGTGTTCCCACCACATGGATGAGTCTGCACATGGTGCCTGGCCTTGGCTAAGGTTGCAGTACTACTGCCTTGTGAATGGACTAACCTAGAGCTCTGCAGAGGCTTTTCATGATGCTGTGATCTGGGCTGCCTTTCCTGCTGTGTCTTGTCAGTAGTTAGTTCATGGATCCAGCCTCATCTCCGCAGATTGGCTATCCCAGGCAGAGCCATTTGACTCCAGATGTGTGTATCTAGGCAGGAGCTGGCCAGATCTCTCCTGCCAGCTGTCTCTTACTGAGCGTGGTGGAGTACTGACCTGGAGTTCACTTTTTGGGCATCTATAGGGATGAGCAATTAGGATTGATTTGGGTTCTCATCTGTGATTTAGCTATGATCTGGGGAGGCTTATGGCTGGGCAGAGCTCTAGCTCTGCTGATGGCTCTGGAGAAATAACCTTATTAAAAAAGAGATGCTGTGAAGCATGAGTCTTTTGCAGTGAGCTTTCCTGGACAGGGTGAAGTGATTGCCACGAAGCCACTGCTGAAGTGACCTGGTTCTCCCTCTGTGTGTTGCAGACACAATTTTCTCCCGTGTCGAGGAGGAGCACCTCTGGGAGTGCAAACAGCTGGGTGTTTACTCACCCTTTGTGCTTCTCAACACCCTCATGTTCTTCAACACTAAGTTCTTCGGGCTGCAGACGGCAGAGGAGCACATGCAGCTCTCCTTCACCAACGTGGTGCGCCAGTCCCGCAAGTGCACCACAGCCCGTGGCATGACAAAGGTGGTGAGCATCCGCTACTATGCTCCAGCCAAGCAGAAGAAAAGCCGAGGTGGGTCTGGGGGAACATCTCTGTTCCTCCCCCTGCATGCCTTGTCAGGATCCAGCCACGAGCCAGCTCTCTCCCTCTCTGCAGATGGCGGCTCTGGAAAACGGAAACGTGAGGAGGAGGTACCGATGCTGGAGCAGCGGGAGAACAGGATGAATCCCCTCCGATGCCCAGTCAAGTTTTATGAGTTTTATCTCTCTAAATGGTGAGGATTTCTCTGGAGAAGAGGCACATGCCATTTTGGGGCCACTTCTTAATTTTGTTAGAACCCTGTGGAGTGACTGCTGCTCTCCAGTCATTTTTTTATGTGCAGTCTTGCCCAGGCTCTGTGCTGCTTGACTAGACCAAGCTTGAGAGAATGCTTCTCTCTGGCCTCTTCCACTTCTTGCCTTTCTCCAGACTGGCAGGAACGTGCAGTAGGAGTCCAGTGCTTAGGTAGTTTTGGGTTTTGACCTTGATCAAGGAGCTGTAGGCTGAGTTTGTGTCCTTATCATACTGAATGAGAAGCTGTAACAAGCTGTGAACACCCCTTGCTAAACATGACATCAGACCAGGCTGTCTGAGCCCCTGAAGCTGATGTGCCAGGTCTCACCCGCCTCTCTCTCCACAGTCCCGAGAGCCTGCGGAACCGCAACGATGTGTTCTACCTGCAGCCCGAGCGGTCATGCATCGCCGAGTCCCCGCTCTGGTACTCGGTGATCCCCATGGACCGCAGCATGCTGGAGAGCATGCTGAACCGCATCCTGGCCGTCAGGGAGATCTACGAGGAGCACAGTCGGCTCAGCAGCCTGGAGGATGACATGGACTAAGGGTGAGGTGCTGCTGGACTGGCTGCACTCCAGCCCTGGACACCTCATCTTGCTGCTTCCCTTTGCAGGGCAGGGGCCATGCAGCATAGGAGGGGATGGTGCTACAGCAGTACTGTCCCTGCATCATTACCAGACGTGGACCTCCCATCCTGCTCGTTACAGGCATCCCCTACGTACGTGGCCCCCACACTCAGCTCTGTCTCCAGTTGGCTGCTGGGTGAGCCATTTTCCCCAGGGCCCGTTCGCATGGCACAGGAGTGGCAGAGTCCCTGAGGCAGCTCCCCTTGCCCAGCCCTGTCCCTCCCCTATCCCCAGCCCTGCCACTACCCCTCTCTTCCTGTGCCCCAGGGCAGGAATTGCACAAGATGCAGTGCACCATTGGACCAGTGGCCTCTGAAGCTTTTACTTCTCTCTTCCTTTAGCATTCCCTCACAAGGCAGGAGCTATCAAGGCAGGAAGAGTAGCTCTGCTGCTGGGGCAGGATTGTCTTTTCAAGCCAGTGGGCATGGGCCACAGGCAGCCTGAGGGCCTGAGGGTCACAGGGAGAACTTATGTCCCAGTTTGGGAAAGATTTGGGTTGGTTGCAGGGAGTGGATGGAGCTCACACTGGAATTTGTGGGCAGAGATCTGGCCTTGCCACAGAGACACCTCATCTGCAGCCAGGATGCCTCCCTCTCTTTGGTCAATGTTTTCTGAGTGGTGAAAACTGATGGAGATGGGTCTGTGCTAGTGCTGCACCTCTCACCCCACTGTGCTCTGTCGTGGTGTAAGGACCCTCCCCTGTGAAAGGTGGCATCAGTGGGAACCTCTGCTCCAGCCACGGGCCCAGGCATTTCCTGGCAGAAGCAGGGAGCCCTGCCTGCCCTCCCCCTCCCTCCCACAGCCACAGGCTGCCAGCACCCTACCCAGGGCAAGTCTGGCTCCAGCTGTGCCACTCTGTGCTGCCCCCTGCCCCTTCTTGTGTTCTGGTCAGTTTTCTTGAGCTGTACATGGGTCTCCTGTTGAGCCTGTATATATTGTTCTGGGCCCTGGCCTGGGGCCATCTGTTCTGTGTCCATGTGGAGAGTGAGCTGCTCACCAGTCTTGTTGTAGTGATGCCAGGGCGGTAGGACTAACCCTGTGTCTCTGGAAACCATTCATTTCAAATAAAGATGTGGAAAACTTTGGCAGACCCCGGTTTTTCCGTCTGGGCAGGGTGAGCATTGTAGAACACGGCCAGTGTCCCTGTGCTGCTGTGCACCTCACTCCTGTCTATCCCAGACTGTGCTGCCTGCCCTTCCTTACCTTGGCCCTGCTGTCCTGCCAGCTCTGGCATGTGGTGATGGCCCCTGCCCCAGTGCCCATTGGTGCCAGCATGGCATGCCCTGCCTGTCCCTTCCATGTCCTCCCAGCCCCACCCAACCCAGCAGTGGCCCTGCCCTGGCCATGCAGTGTGTCCATAGGATGGAGCACGGTGCCTGTGAGCAGAGCAGGAGTCAAGTGAGGTGCAGTAAGTGTTTATTTTCTCCCCCTTCCAAGCTCTACTCTTAGCCCTGCTGCTTGCAGGAGTGCCAGGAGCATCTGAGCAGTGTCCCCAGGGCTGTGCCCAGCTCTCGTGCTGACCATGGGGTCCGTGCCTTGGGCCTGGCAGAGACTGGAAACACAACCATCACTGTGACCACCCATGCATTGCCCATCCCTGCCCATGCCAGCAGGCCACATTTACACTGCCAGGTCTGCCGTTCGCATGTCCCTGTGGGACCCACCAGCCACCCCTAGCCATGCACCTGCCTTCTTCAGTGGTGCCAGGCCATGGGGGGGTCTGCCAGCAGCCAGGGGGCTGCCACCCCTGGGCAGAGTGACATAGGTGCTGCCAGGTCCTACAGGCCCACCAGGAGTGGTTAGGATGTGGGACTTGGGGCCTGGCCCTCGCCGGCACTTGGTGAGACCCAGGTGGTAGATCTCTACCAGGTTGAGCAGCAAGGACACGCAGGCCACCCCCAGCATGAAGAGGATGAAGATGGTCTTCTCAGTGGGCCGGGAGATGTAGCAGTTGACTGTGTTGGGGCAGGGCCAGCGGCTGCAGGTGTAGAGGGGCTTCAGCTGGAACCCATACAAGGCGTACTGGCCCACAATGAACCCCACTTCCAGGAGAGCCTTGAAGACGATGTTGCAGATGTATGTCCTCAGGATGGCCCCCCGCATGCACACCCGTGCCCTTGTGTTCCCTGCAGGGAGCTGGGGCTGCCTGGGGCGCTGCCGCCTGGCCCCGCTGCCAGCCCGTGCTGCCGCCTGCTGCTGTGCCTTCTCCTCCAGATGCACCAGGTGCAGGATGTGGCCCAGATACACAAGGCTGGGGGTGGAGACAAAGATGATCTGCAGGACCCAGAAGCGGAGGTGGGAGATGGGGAAGGTGCTGTCATAGCAGGCATTTTGGCAGCCGGGCTGCTGCGTGTCACAGGAGAAGCCAGACAGCTCGTCACCCCAGACCCGCTCTGCGGCTGCCCCCAGCACCAGGATGCGGAAGACGAAGAGGACGGTAAGCCAGACCTTCCCCACCACTGTGGAGTGCTCCTGGGCATTCTCCAGCAGCCGACCCAGCAGACTCCAGTCCCCCATGGCATGTGCTGTGGTGCCCTGCAAGACAGCCACCCTCCAGACACAGCCACCCCACAGCCCGCCAAAATGCCACCCCACTCCCTGGTAAAGCAGGTGTGCACAGACCCAACCCAAGGCTGTCTCTGGAGTGTCCCCATCCTGGGTCCCAGGGACCCCCTAACCTATCACAAGGAGGGCAGGGGGAGCAAAGACCTCCAGCAGAGAGCTGGGAGCACCATGGGGAACAACCGCGGTGGCGATCTGGCACGGGGACCTCTCACCGTAGACAGTGCGTGGGGCAGAGCCCAGTGCTCCCGCGCCGTCCCCTCCCGTCAGTGGGGTGATGGGGGATGCTGTGAGGCCCCTTCCCAGCCGGTCCCCAGCTCCTCAGTGGGGTGCGGAGAGGTCTGCCTGCTCCGTCTGTCCGGTCACCCAACGGCGGGCGTGGGGTTATTGGGGCATGAGGCAGCTGCGTGCCCCATTGGCTTTCACTGTGACTGGCACATGAAACAGCCACTGGGGAAACTTTTTCCTCTATTTTTGGTCTGGGCACTTTTCTAATTATATTCGGGGCTGCAGGGACTGGTGCTGGGGGAGCGCAAGCCCTTGGACACTGATCAATGCCACCCAGGGGTCACTGGTTGCTGCCGGCTGCCAGGGCAACACAGCCACAGCCCCAGCTCAGGCCTGGCACTGCAGCCCCCACAGCCCCTTATGGCACCCACCAGGGCTTGGGTGCAAGGATGGACACCCCACGCTGGCACCCCAGCTCCCGGCATATCCTGGCCAGAGCAGAAAGGAGGGAGGCAGCACCTGAGAATGGAGATTTAATGGCCCAAGATGCCCTCCTGGCCATCTAGGAGAGCCTGAGGGATGCTATCCTTGGGACAGGGACAGTAACAGGCCCATGGGGCGACTGTGGGGCTGGAGCCCCTGCAGTGGTGGCCCTAGCAGGCAGAGCAGCGGTCACCCTTCTCCTGCAGCCCAGAGTTGCGGCGCAGCATGTCCTTGAGGGAACCGTCCTGCTCTGTCAGCAGCTGGTTGATCTCGTTCTGCTTGTACTCGGAGGAATGCTTGTGCCCATAGAAGGAGCCCTTCCCGGATGAGGGGTTGGAGTGGTGCTGGCTTCGGCGGGCACAGGCCCGCACCACCAGGTAGACCAGCTCTGCCATGTTGAGGATGATGCAGACACTGGAGGTGACCAGCATGAAGACAGTGAAGATGGTCTTCTCAGTGGGCCGGGAGATGAAGCAGTCGACAGTGTTGGGGCAGGGGTAAGCCTCGCATTTGACCAGCCGCATCATCTGGTAGCCTGGGTAGAGCATGTAGAAGATGTACATGAACACAGCCTCGAAGAGCAGCCTGAAGACCACGCTGCAGACATACGTCCACCACAGTGAACCTGCTATGCGCATCTTGTGCTTCTTGACCTCTTCCATGTGCTTGGCATCCGCATGCCCTGTCAGCATCAGCAGCTTCTTCTCCTGGTGCTGCTGGTAGGCCACGTGCATGGCCACGAGAAGGGCCGGTGTGGTGACGAGGATGAGCTGCAGGGCCCACAGACGGATGTGGGAGATGGGGAAGAAGTGGTCATAGCAGACGCTGTTGCAGCCAGGCTGCTGGGTGTTGCAGGTGAAGGCAGATTTCTCATCCCCCCAGACGCTCTCGGCTGCCACCACTAACACCATTATCCGGAAGATGAAGATGACAGAGAGCCAGATGCGCCCGATGGCAGTGGAGTGGCGGTTCACCCCGCTCAGCACCGTGTAGAGGCCGGCCCAATTCATCGTTTCTCACGTCTGTAGGAGAGAGCGGTGAGAGATGGTGTTAAGAGCAGGAAGGACCCCTGGCTGAGAGCCAGCAAGTCCTGGCTCCAGTGGCAGCAGCCCCAGGAGGGACCTGGGAGCAACTGGGTGGCAGCCCTGGAGGGTGGAGAGCAGGATGGACAGACAGGAGGATGGCAGCATGGCTTCTGCTCCTGACACAGCTCAAGGCAGCATTTTGGCCAGAGCGGGCTGGAGACTGGCTGCCCCAGCAGTGCCAGATACTCCAGTCCTGCCACCCCACACTGGCACAGGGATCCTAACCCACAGCTGCCACAGAGAATGGGGGTGAAGCTCCCACACCTCTACACTCAGTATCCCCAGTACTCAGTGCTGAACTCGTCAGCTAGGAATGGTCCTAAGGAGCTTCACAGCACCAATTCCTCCCTTTGTCCTCCCATTATCTGCAGGAGCAGGGCCAGGCAGCCCTGAGCTGAGGGGCTCCCCCCGTGCACTGCCACCCTCCCAGAGCCATCCTTGCCCGGGGAACACAGGGCGACCCCAGTCCCAAGCACAGACCCCCGCCCCACCACAGCAACCCACTGGCACCGAGCAGCCCCGGGAGCCGCTTCCCACCCCCGCATGAGTCTGGGTGCCTGGGACCAGCCACCCCCAGTGTGGAGGATCCTGGTGACGCGTACCTGCCGGTGAGGAAGGGTCCTCGAAAGCTGCCCCCAGTGGCCCCTCTAAGGTCTCATGCCTCCCGCAGGAGAGCTCTGCTCCGCCTGCCCTCGTCTCTCTCTGCCACTGCCCTGCACTGGAAGTCATATGCTGCTTTATAAACTATTTGCATACAATGGAGCCTTTATCGGCCCCTGAACAACACACTTTAGCATTCAGATCTAACGCCCTGACTTCCGCCCACCCTGGCCAAACAAAGTGCCTGTGTGCAGCATTCCCTCTGCTCGGCCCCGCACC